TTTCCCTACCTTCTCAGCCCCAGCTCAAGTCACTAAAATTGGCCGGAAGCGAACGGACGAGAACTCTGCAGGAAAAGTAAAAATAGAAGGGAGGCGCTACCTGACCAAGCCGAGCCAACTGCGCAGCCATCTTGCCCCCAAAGAAGACCTCAATGCTTTCCTTTGCGGCAAAAAAAGTCAACGTCCGGCTATACCTGAAGAATTCTGGGAAATGTAGTCCTCCTAAGAACTCTTACGAAGAGAGTCTAGAGTCTTTCTTTCGTAGTAGACTCTACTGATACAGACTAATCCTTTGGCAGGTCTTAGTACAAGGACTATCTATCCAGTCTGACGCATACAACTGGGATAGTTTTGTCTAGCACAGGGATGGGGGGGCGGGGCGGCGGGACGTGAGGAAAGCTTTAATGGATAACTTCCTGTGCGTCAGGCAGCGATTAAAGACTCAGGAGGACTACTTCAAGGGAAACAAAGGATCCACGAAGAATAGTTGGTTATAAGCTTTTTCTGTCTAGTGGGCAGATGGCGAACTGAACAGAGTATACTTACAGCGCAATCCTAAACATGCATGCTTCAATGGGCCTTGCTCCCTAATGTTTGGGATTACAACGAGACAGGGAAGATCTAGGATTATCAGCCTCCAGGTGGTAGCTGGAGATACAGTTACAGCTGATCTCCAGGCAAAAATGCAAATTAGAAGCATAGACACCTGCTAATTGCTGCAGATCAGACTTCTGTCAGAGGGATATTTGCAGGAGCTGTTTTTTTAATTAACAACTCTCTAGTCAGGGCAGAAGCCAGACAATTAAAAAAACCCCCCCCCCATTTGTAGTATCCCTTGATGTGGGAAATCTACCCTTTTATTCAATTATTAAAGGCCTATGTATACACTTAAGATCTGGAGCGAAGTCCAACTCAGGGCATGTGTAGTGTGATGCAGTTTGAATCCTCATTTCTACCATGGAAGCTTGCTAGGTGATTTGGGTCCATCACAAACTCTCAGCCTGACCTAGCTCACAGGGTTGTTGTTGTGAGAAAATGGAGGAGGGGAGAATGGTGTTCTAAAAGCCACTTTGAGTCCCAACTGGGGAGAAAAGTGGGATACAAGTAAACAAATGCAAAGACATGCATGGCATAATAATCTAAAAATGTGTTTATAAAATTTAGGCTTACATAAAAGTTACCTGGGATACCTTTCATGTAAGTTTAACAGCAGCCTGGCACAGTTTCCCTGGTATGGACATGTGCAGAGCCAGATTCACCTGTAAAATTTAAGTTTCCAGCTGCACAGGAGAGGGAGGGGGCAGGGAAAAGTTCACAACCCTAAAAATATGCCACAATGATCTTGGTTTCTGAGGAAGCTTCATTTTCAAATGCTGGAGGTGGGTTACTGTTGATATTGTTAAAGAAGACATTGCAGAAATCATCCAGAAATGGTCAAAGCAAGGGGAATTTGTACTTGGAAAGAGGATGGGCTAATAATTTCACAAAGTGAGTGAGAATGGCAAGGGATTATACTACAGTTGCAGCTTTAAAATGAATCCACTTCTAGGAACTGGGAAACTAATAAGAAAAAGAGATTGGATTTATACCCCGCCCTTCACTCCCCATCCCGAAAGAGAGTGGCTTACAATCTCCTTTCCCTTTCCCTTCCCCTCCCCTCCCTACAACAGACACCCTGTGAGCTAGGTGGGGCTAAGAGAACTCTTGAGAGAACTGCTCTGAAAGAACTTGTGACTGACCCAGGGTCACACCAGCACCTGCACATGGAGGAGTGGGGAATCAAACTTGGTTCTCCCAAATGAGAGTCTGTGCTCCTAACCACTACACCAAACTGGAACTACACCAAATTAGGAAATCCAAAATCACAATTCATAGAAAAGCTAGGAATAATCAATAGGATTTAAATTGAAGTGGTTGTAACAGGGAAGGATGTTGTTGATGGTAAAATGATAGTTTATACAGATGGCTAAACGAGTATCTGCAAAAAAATATTCACAAAAGACTAGAGATACTGTTTTTTGACTGCCTTTAATTGCTGTGTGATGGCTAAAATTCAACAAGTGCAGGGAGAGGAGCATAGTAAAGACACACTTGCAAAAGTTCATTTTTGTGGAGCCCTTGAAAGTCAAAGGGAAAAAGGTAATCTATCACAGTATACATCTATCTATGTTATATCTATAGTGGTGGACAGCATAAGGCTTCTCTGCACCTACTTAGGGAGAACATTCCACAGTGATGGAGCTGCTGAAGAAAAAGACCCTCTGAGACTGAACAGACATTTAAAGGGAGAGTTCAGTCAGGAGGAGGCCATAGAAGGCTGTAAGAGGGTAATCAAACTAATAAGAAATAAACAATTAGAACATAAAAGCACAGAAAAAGGTCACTTTGTTTATATATGTATATTTATGATTTATGCCTATCATATGATACACATATCTCAAGTATACATTTAATGAGTCCCTTCTGCTTGATGGCCTTCGGTGGGCTCCTTAAAGTTTGGGTTGGTTATTCTCAAGATTATGTACATACACACACAACTGCCTTATGTTGAGTCAGATCATTGGTCTATGAAATACAGTATTGTCCATTCTGATTGGAGTGACTCTCTGGGGTCTCATATAGAGATCAAACTTTCATATCGCCTACTACTTAATTATTTTAAGATGCTGGGATTTGAACCTGGACCTTCTGCATGCTCTACCACACACTGAGCCACAGCCTCACCCCTAGTATTTGCTGTCTGCCATTTTTATGGACCTGGGGAAGAAATCTAGGAAATGGATATAGGGAGCATAAAACAACACTCTGTCACTTGCTGTCAGAAGTCACCACAAGTGAAGGAAGAGAAGAGGCTGTCTGAATGCCAACCCTTTACTCCCAAAGTTCTAAAGCCCTCTAGAGATTTGTGTATGGCCTCTATTAAGAATCACTGGTAAAAGCAGAGATGCAATGTTACAATATGACCACAGTCCCCAGTGCACACTGAAATCAAAATTTTCTACCTTGTTTTGAATAGCCAGTAATACATGCAAGGCTTTCAGCATAAAAACCTAGGTTTTTATTGCTGTGAGAAATTATCTGTCTCATATTAAAGCTATAAAAGTGGATAATGCAGAGTTCAAAATGAAAAGTTATATAGATTATGTGGTTCTAACAGTCTTGAATCCCAAAAATTATTGCAATGTGTAACTGAACAGATCAAAGAATTTGGATCCCTATCAGGCTATAAAATTAATAGAAAAAAACCCCAAAAATAATAATGACATTTTTAACACAACAACAAGATGAGATTATAAAGAGCACAAAGTGCTCAACAGCCACTGACCCTATTAAATATTTGGGAATTAACGTGACTGGGCAAAACTATAATCTTTTTAAAAATAACTATCAGAAAATTTTGAAATCGATTCAAGCAGATTTATTAAGATGACCCCCCCCCCCCCTAAAAATCACATGGCTGGGAAGAATCCCTACAATTAAAATGAATGTGCTGCCAAAACTAAACATTTTGTTCCAAATGCTGCCCATATTTATAGAAGAAAATCCCCAACTGGCAACCCTGTTTGGGGAGGTGAAGGAGCTCAGCATGAATGAGATGCGTATAGAGTTCACCCTCCAAAGTTGCCATTTTCTCCAGGGAAACTGATCTTTGTAATCTGGAGATCATTTGTAATTCTGGGAAAACTCCAGGCAGCCTCAAACTGATTGCTATGGTCATGACAGTAAAACAGCCCACAAAGCATTTAATGCATCTAAACATTAGCCTATTTCCAACACTGTATAGGCTTTTCTATAAAATAATTTTACTATCTTTCTAAAATATGTGAATGAGCCATCCAAATGAGCATCCTTGGGGATCACTTTTCACTCAGCCATGAATCTCATTGGTGACCTTTGCCCAGTCATTTTTCTATCAACCTAACTGGCCTCACGGTCTTGTTATGAGGATGAAGTGCAAGAAGGGAGAATCCCAGAGGCTCCTTCGAGAAAGTATGGAATTCAAATGTGATAGAGAGGAAGGGGCCATGATGAGCCTGGGCCAAACACCTTGTCGGTAACCGTGTGCTCTTCAGGCAGTCTTCAGATGACTTTAAAATTACGGCATGCTCGCGTCCCTCCCAGCCCTCCTTTGCCGGCCTTATCTGGACTACAGTTTCCAGTTCGCACTGGGAAACACTCTGAGTGACGTTGCAGGAAGTGAAGCGCGGACTTCTTCCGGTAGTGCGTAAGCCCGAACGGAGCCGAGACCCAGCGGAGCCTGAATCCCGATAAGACAAGATGGCCGGGCTGCCCCGTAGGATCATCAAGGTATCCGCTTTCCCCCGCGCGCTGCCTGTCCCCTTCCTCCCCTCCTTTCTCTTGGTAGCTGGAGACGGGCCTGCTGGCTAAGCCGCGCCAGCCCTGCGCGAGGGCCCGTGGAGCGGGAGGAAGCGCCGCGCTTCCGGTGAGCGGGACTGGCGGCGGGTTCAGGCGGCTTCCCTTCTTCGCGGCGGCTGCAGCGCGCGCGGAGGGAGAGGATGGCTGGCGATGGCAGCTACCGCCATTTGGGGCAGGCAGGCGGGTGGGCGGG